GGGCATTGTCGACGGCACGTCGAATTCGATCCGCCAAGGGGACAGATCAAGCCCGCTTCTGTTCAACGCAGCAGCAAGTCGTTATGCGCCGGTGGAAGATGCGCTTGAGTGCTGAGCATGGTTTGCAGCTTTCTGGCGACGCAGCTCACAGGCTGACGAACGACCGTTTCGCGGATGATCTCATACTCTTTGCGGCGAAGTCTTTGTGCGAGGTCGAGAAGATGACCGCGCTGCTTGTGAGAATACGCAACAACTGGCCTTGTGGCAAGTGGATCGGAAACGAAGCTTCTGACGACGGATGCCGCAGCATCCTCTGTGTCAATACGCCTGCTGGTAGACATCGCGGGCATGTTCGTGGAAGTCACCAAGGCAGGTTATTCCCACAAGTAGATTGGAAAGTCTTTGCCCAGAGATCTGACGTCGCGTGGGCAGAGATATCTTCATCATCGTCTGTCGTGTGCGTGGACGCGTTTCCATGAGCTGCACCACGCCTTGCTCAACCACAAGATTCTGATAAAATTGCGTCTAAGATTGTTCGACGCCGTCGTCAGCCCAACAATATTGCACAATCTTTCAACAGCTCTGCTTACAATATCGCAGTTGGAGAGACTCAACGGAGTACAACGGAAAATGATGAGATGGAGATGCATTGTGGGCCGGGTGAGACACGACGAGGAGGACTGGCATGCCACAGGGTATCGCATGAAAGAAAAACTGAACTCTGCGTGGGACTGCACTCGCGTGGCGGTCTGGAGCCAGGCGCGGGGCAAGCAAAGGCGAAGACTGATCGAGAAAGTCGTATATCTACTGGCAGGCATTGTCTGTCGCGTGTATGATTGGTCGATTCGGCCAGCTGTGCCTGGTCAAGTGGCCTACAGGAGACCTGGCCGTCCGGCATGCCGGTGGACGCAGGGCGTCTGAGTGATGACAGTCGCGCGCGCGTGGTGTTGTCTTGTTTTGCTGTGTTGTGTTGTGTGTGTGTGTTGTGCTGTTGTGTTTGTGAGTTGCGGGAAGCCTGCGCAGGCCATTTTCCTCCCGTGTCCTGTGAAGTACCGGCCTTGTGGCCGTGCGGGATCTGCTCTGCTCCGCTCAATGATGGGGCACGTCCCGTTTGACAGCTGATGCATGAGCCCCCATTTCACGCGCGCCCGCTCGAGGATTACGCACTTCCCGCATGGCTGCTACTTCCTAGACTTCTGTCGGGCGTGTCCCCCTACCGGGGGATTTTCGACGAAAATAAAAAATACCCCAAAAATACACCAAAATACACCAAAAAGGTCAAACAAATACCCAAAAAATAGTCCCCATACTATTTTTGGATTATTTGTTTGACTATTTTGGGGGTATTTTTAAGTTTTCGTCGAAAATCCCCCTGTAAGGGGGACAGGCCCGACTTAATCCTAGACCCCTCATCCCACGCGCACCTGCTCGAGGATCGTGCACTTGCCGCCTCCCAGGCGCTGCTTCCGAGCGCTCCAGGGCCTCCCGAGCCACGACCCTGCGTTAAAAACGATGGACATGCGACCCGAGCTTCCAAGATGACCCGTGGCAACCAAGGAGGACACCAAGATGACCGAAGAGTCCTGCCTCCACAGGGCCCAACAGGGCTACAAAAGGACCTCCAACAGGGTCCGAAGAAGCCAAAATCCGCCGACTCCCGCTTGCTGGTGGTGAAGATGCATGTGAGAAATTTGGCTGTCCCCATCCCCTTTCCCCCCTCCTTTGGCGTCCAAAATCCTTTTTCAGGGGGGGGGATCAGGGGGGGGGGGGGGGGTTCGAACTCGTCAACGCGCCCCTGCGACCTCCGGAGGCTCCCAAGAGCCCAGTCTCGGCCCCCAAAAGCCTAAACAGAGCGCGAAAACAATCCAAGAAAACGTCGACACGGCCCAGGGTAGCCCCACGACGATCCAAGATGGCTCTTAGATAGTCAGCGAGGCCTCCAAGACGGCCCGAGAGCGCTCCCAGAGGACCGCCGAGAGGGTGCCAAGAAACAAAACATATGTCACTCCCCGCGGAAAACGTACACTGTTGACATAGTCGCCTTCTTGGTCTTGACAGCGGCCAAGACGGCCCAAGAGAACCCCAAGATCGTCCCAAGAGGGCATCTGAAGGCTCCAAGACGGCCCCAGGGGCCCCTATGACGGCCCAAGAGGGCCCCAAGGGGCGCCCAAAATAGCTTCGAGAGCCCCCTGGAGGCCCCCGAGCCGCCCCCAAGAGGCTCCCATCAAGAGGCCTCCGGGAGGCCACCAAGAGGCCCCCAAGAGGTCCGCAAGAGGTCCCCCAAAGGCATGCAAGGAAAGAACAGAAGCCTCCAGCCAACTTCCATGCGTTCCTCCCTCCTCTTAGGGGTCGGAGGAATGGCCCAAGCCTCTTGAACCAACGATATTCCCTTGGGCTTTTGACTGATTTACGAATTCTCGGCCTTTCGGGCGGCCGTCAGCTCAAGACGGCACAGGAGGACTCCACGATGGCCCAAGAGGCATCCAAGACGCCCCAAAGGCAGCCCCAATACGGCCCAGGAATGACTACCTACCAGACCACCCCAACCCAACCCGAAGACCCGAATTTCGGGTTGGGGGGGGTACGGGTTCCATATGTGTTTTTGCAATGTTCCCCGAACCCCCCCCCCAACTGGAAATGGAGGGCAAATCGAAGCCTTCGGGTTGGGTTGGGGTGGTTTGGTGGGCGGTGAAGAAGGCCTCCCGTGGGACCCAAGACGGTCTTCGAAGGCCCTTCGACGGCCCAAGACGGCGACAAGACGGCCCCACGACGGCGCCGAGACACCCACCAGGCCAAGAGGGCCCCAAAACGGCCCAAGAGAATCCCAAGCCTGCGTAAGAGGGCCCCAAGATGGTCCAAGCGGGCCTCAAGGGACCCTCTAGACTGCCTCAGAGAAGGACATGACAGCCCCAAAACGTTGAAAACGAGTTTCACCGCCGTCATCATCATCATCATCATCATCATGATTATCATCATCATCATCATCATCATCATCATCATCATCATCATCATCAT